TGAACAAGTCTAATATATTCATGACCAAACTCTACCCACACAAAAATAAAGTGGAATCCTAAAATGCTTACTTATGACAAATACTTGATGGCTCCTAGTTCCTCTTTGAAATCATTTAATTGATAAGCTATTTCCATGGTAAGTATTCCTTGGCCTCAGTTTTCCTCCCACTAACCTGATTGTTCCCTTTATTGGGCAGGTGTAACCACAAAACAAAGGAAGTCTGTTGTTTGTGACACTTTGTAAGTCATATAATTTAGAGAAATGATTGCTTATTTTACCATCAGTGTTGTTAACCAACTTTTCACTTTTGTATGGCATGCTGATGTGTTTGTTGGGACCACTGCACAGTGTTTTTCTTGTGTTCACAAATTACATTGTTCATCAGAGATAAATTGCACTGCTAAAGAATAAAAGTTGATCACAGCCCTCGCTGGTTTGGCTCAGTGGATAGAGCGTCAGCCTGCGGACTGAAGGGTCCCAGGTTCGGTTCTGGTCAGGGGCACATGCCTGGGTTGCGGGCTCGTTCCCCAGTGGGGGGCGAGCAGGAGGCAGCTGATCAATGATTCTCTCTCATCATTGATGTTTCTATCTCTCTCTCCCTCTCCCTTCCTCTCTGAAATCAATAAAGAAATATATATTTTTTTAAAAAGTTGATCACAAAAAACTTACATTTTTGGAGGGAGTAATTCTCAATTAAACCTTCGTGTGTATGAAAATCACTTGAGAAAAACTGAAGTGCAGATTTCCACGAGCACCGACAGAGAATTTGATTCAAGATTCCCGAGAGGAGCCCAGAATTAACCCCGCGAGGGGTGGGGGGACCCTAACCTCCCAGGTATTTCTTTAAGCGAGTGGTTCACACATTCCTGTTTGAGAAACATCGACTCGTCCTAAAAGTCTCTATAATGCTCAGATTTTGGAAATTGTGTTGAGAGGCAAGCACCGCATGAAGTTATTAATTTGAACGCGTGGTGGCAGTACAGGCTAAGAGACTAAATCTAATCCGAGCTCTGCAGATCCGGTGGACGCCATTTCACGGAGAAACCCAAGAAAAAATACTGGACACATTTAAGCTAAAGCCAAAATAGACGTGTTCCGGAAGGCAGTCGTCGCCAGAGAAGTTAAAAGAACGAATTTGAAACTCTTTGGCAAAGACATTTTGGCGGGTCGACGGTGGATGTGGTGATTGGGAGCGAAAAAGGATTTTTCCTCTGAAATCAGGCATAACAATAGAAATGGCGCAGACAAAAGGACATCGCAAGAAAAGGCAAGCGGTAACCTTCATTATATTGATGCTTTTGTGGGAGGCGGGTTCAGGATTCATACAATATTCTGTATTGGAGGAGACAGAGAGTGGCACATTTGTGGCCAACTTGACAAAGGACCTGGGACTCGGGAGCGGAGAGCTGGCTGCGCGGGGAGCACGGGTTGTTTTCAAGGGGAACAGACAGCATTTGCAACTTGACCCACAGACCTATGATTTGCTGCTAAATGAGAAACTGGACCGGGAGGAGCTGTGCGGCCCTACTGAGCCCTGTGTGCTACCTTTCCAGGTGTTACTGGAAAATCCTTTGCAGTTTTTCCAGGCTGCCTTGCAAGTGGGAGATATAAATGACCACGCCCCGGAGTTCCCGGCCAGAGATATGATCCTAAAAATATCAGAAATCACTGCGCCAGGAAAGATATTTCCTTTGAAAGTGGCACAGGATTTAGACGTGGGTAGCAACGGCCTTCAGAGCTACACAGTCAGCTCCAATGCTCACTTCCGCGTTCTCACCCGCAGTCGCAGCGACGGCAGGAAGTTCCCGGAGCTGGTGCTGGACAAAGCGCTGGACCGGGAGGAGCAGCCTGAGCTCAGGCTGACCCTCACCGCGCTGGATGGGGGGTCTCCGCCCCGGTCAGGGACCATAGAGATTCAGATCTGGGTCTTGGACAGCAATGACAACGCCCCAGAGTTCGCTCAGGAACTCTACGAGGCGCAAGTCCCTGAAAACAGCTCCCTGGGCTCTCTGGTTACCACCGTCTCAGCGAGAGATTTAGATGCAGAATCCTTTGGAGAGGTATCTTATGCCCTACTTCAAACCGACGACGTTGACCAGCCCTTCGAAATAAACGCAATCACAGGCGAAATTCGACTGAGAAAGACGTTGGATTTTGAAGAATTTCAATCTTATCACGTGGATGTTGAGGCCACAGATGGCGGGGGACTATCCGGAAAATGTTCCATAGTCATCCAGGTTCTGGACGTGAATGACAACGCCCCTGAACTGGCCATGTCGTCGCTCAGCAGCGCCGTCCCGGAAAACCTGCCAGAGACGGTAGTGGCAGTTTTCAGTGTATCCGATGCAGATTCCGGACATAATCAACAGGTTATTTGTTCTATAGACGATAGTCTCCCCTTTCTTCTAAGACCGTCTGCGGAGAATTTCTACACCCTGGTAACAGAAGGACCGCTGGACAGAGAGAGTCAGGCCGAGTACAACATCACCATCACCGTCACCGACTTGGGGACCCCCAGGCTGGAAACCCAGCACAACATCACCCTGCTGGTGTCTGACGTCAACGACAACGCCCCCGCCTTCACCCAAACCGCCTACACCCTGTTCCTCCGCGAGAACAACAGCCCCGCCCTGCACATCGGCAGCGTCAGCGCCACAGACAGCGACGCGGGCGCCAACGCCCAGCTCACCTACTCACTGCTGCCGCCCCACGACCCGCGCCTGCCCCTGGCCTCGCTCGTGTCCATCAACGCGGACAACGGCCGCCTGTTCGCCCTGAGGGCGCTGGACTTCGAGGCGCTGCCGGCGTTCGAGTTCCGCGTGGGCGCCACGGACCGCGGGTCCCCCGCGCTGAGCAGCCAGGCGCTGGTGCGCGTGCAGGTGCTGGACGCCAACGACCACGCGCCCTTCGTGCTGTACCCGCTGCAGAACGGCTCCGCGCCCTGCACCGAGCTGGTGCCCAGGGCGGCCGAGCCGGGCTACCTGGTGAGCAAGGTGGTGGCGGTGGACGCGGACTCGGGCCAGAACGCCTGGCTGTCGTTCCAGCTGCTCAAGGCCACGGAGCCCGGGCTGTTCGGCGTGTGGGCGCACAATGGCGAGGTGCGCACGGCGCGGCTGCTGAGCGAGCGCGACGCGGCCCGGCACCGGCTGCTGGTGCTGGTCAGGGACCATGGCGAGCCCGCGCTGTCGGCCAGCGTCACGCTGCACGTGCTGCTGGTGGACGGCTTCTCGCAGCCCCACCTGCCGCTGCCCGAAGCGGCGGCCGACCCGGCGCCGGCCGACCCGCTGACCGTGCCCCTGGTCATCGCGCTGGCGGCGGTGTCGTCGCTGTTCCTGTTCTCGGTGCTGGCGTTCATCGCGGTGCGGCTGTGCAGGCGGAGCAGGGCCGCCTGGGTGGGTGGCTGCTCGGTGCCTGAGGGCCCCTTTCCGGGCCGCCTGGTGGACGTCAGCGGCACCGGGACCCTGTCCCAGAGCTACCAGTATGAGGTGTGTCTGACGGGAGGCTCAGGGGCCAGCGAGTTCAAGTTCCTAAAGCCGATTCTCCCCAACTTCCCTCCTCAAGAAACTTGGGAAGGAAACGAAGGAAAACCCTACTTTTCGGAATAGCTTTCCCATTCAGTTAAGTATTGTATGATTCTGCTAAACCCTACTTAATAAGTTTGAAAATCTCTTTTTAACTTAGTTACATGCTATTGATGGTCCCCTTTTTTTTTATTACTTTACTACTGTTCCTTAGGGTAAAATTAAAAGAAATTCAGATATTGCATATACACAGCATTTTTCCTACATTACGCTTAGTAGTTTTGAAATTATATTTGACTAGATTTGACAATCTGAATAAAAAGTAAATTTTTACTTGTATAATTTAAAATTTTTGAAATTTAATCATCTATCTCTTGTTACAAAATTATATTCCAGCGTCCTTAAGTGTGATTCTATTTCTAACTATTCGTGACAATGGTATCACTATTGCTATGTAGAGAAAAATTTTAAATGATTGTTATTTAATCTGCCAGTTTAAGTCTTAACATCTATAGTGTGATGAAATAAAGATATACACTAAAGAGGGCTAAATAATAAGATAGCCAGTCATATTTATGTATATTTCAGTAACCATAATAGTCAATACATATTTTCTGTGAATATAGACTTTACAAAACTGTCATCACATTTAGTTACAGTTTGTGAGCTTCATGTAAGAATAGGATGATCTTTTTAAAACACCGACCAGACCAATTATAAATGCTTAACAAATATTTTCCGAATGTTAACATTCCTATAGTGAATTTAAAAAATAATTTTCAAGGGATACAGAAATGCTAATATTCTTTCTACACTATAGTGCCCTTGCCAATAAGTGAAATTATTAAATATCACTCTTTTACTTTTCCTCTAGAAAACATCTTCCATTAACCCAAAACTCTATTACAGAACATAAAATGCTTGAGAATACATTTTATTTCCTTGTCTTTATCCAACTATTTGAAAGATGTAAGGTATTATATTGTTTAGTAAAATCCAAATCATATTTTTCAAACTGCTCCTCCTAGTTTCTTAAACTTCTGAGAACTAAATAAGTTATTAGTGCCAGTTTATTGGAGAATGTCAGTTTTTCCCTTCCTGTTCTGCATATGCATTATTTATATTTATTAACCATAAAATCATTTACTTTAATAGTTTAACTATATTTGGTCTTATTTGTGTTGGTTATGTTTTATGAAAAAATTCCTCTTTTCAATTTTCCATCAAAGTTAGGCAATTTACACTAAAGTGACAAGTGAGTGGAAATTTTATTTTTAAAAAATATTTTATTGATTTAAGAGAGGAAGGAAGAGGGAGCGAGAGACAGAAACCACAATGATGAGAGAGAATCATTGATCAGCTGTCTCCTGCATGCCCCAGACTTGGGATCAAGCCCAAAAACAGAGCCTGAAACCCTGGGCATGTGCTCTGACAGGAATTGAACTATGACCCCTGGTTCATAGGTCTACACTCAACCACTGAGCCACACCAGTTGGGCAGAATATTTTATTTTTATCCTTAATTAAAATGGAAGTGGGCGTAACTAAATTATGTTTGTCTGTGTTTTGTATCCAAATAAGTGAACTGCCCTGGCTCCTATGTCATGGATGATCACCAGTTGGGTCAATGAGTGTACGGAACACTTACTGTTTTGTATTCCCATATATTCACCTTCTCCTCGGAGTAGCATTCTTCCTTGGGGGAAACTGCTTATTCTGACATTCTCACGCCAACTCCCAAGGCTTTAGTTGACGCAGTGGTGTTTTTCAATAGCCCTATCTCTATTGTCCCAGGGGATGGACTCTTATCAAAGCTGACAGGTCAAACCCCTTCCCTGGAAAGTGTATCTTTGACTCCATTGACTTTATGCCTTTTTCATGTTCTTCCAAAGACATTGCCCGAACTCATAGCTTATAGTGACTTCTAATAAAATAAATGGGCATTTTCTCTGAACGTTACAGGCTGTGCACACAAGGAGTTTATGAAGGAAAAAAATTCTCAAAGGCTATGTAGCTCAGAGACTGACAATACAACATCCCCCCCCCCCCCAAGGAGATACAGGTACATTCCCATTTGTTTGGATTTAAAAACTCATAACTTCTAACACAATAGAAAAAATTAGTATTTTGGTAATAGAATGTAAGCTCCTCAAGAGCAAGAATTTTTGTGTTTCCCGTTTCATCTCCAGAAGCTAGGAAATTTTCTGCACAGTGAAATACTTATTGAATGACTCAATGAATTTGTCTTCAGCCGAGTTTTGAATAATGAAATTGTACCTTTATAAAGAAGATGACTATAGATAAATAGGTATTACTTTGCTCTCACAACTACTGCTAGCTACCTGAACAACACTGCATAATAGGTAGGGGGAAAGGAGTACCCAAAAAGGCATTCAGCGCGGGTTTTTTTGCTCTTACATTGTGCTTTGAAATGAAAACTACCTGAAGTTGTAAAACAGAACGCTGGGTGGCGCTGCAGGACAAGAGAGTGAAAACCTCTCCGCGATTCCAAGACGACGTAAAGCGGTAAAGCCGTAAAGCCATCTCGACCGCTTGCAAAGGAAGCATTTTACACCACCGGGGGCTAGAGGGTGTCAGAGAGGCCGCTATCCCCATCCCCACGTCAGTCAATGTTAGGAACTGACTCAAGATTATTGAACTAAGATAGCAGAGTTGGCTGCAAAGCAATCATTTTGTGATTTAATACTGGGTCGTTTTGACAAGGAGGAAGGATGGAGACGCCGCTCCCCAAAGCGCCCCGGAAAAGGCAAGTGACCGCCATTATGATTCTATTACTGTTGTGGGAGGCGGGCGGCGCGACCCTTCACTATTCCGTTCTAGAAGAGAGGGAGAGCGGCTCTTTTGTGGCCAACCTCGCAAAAGATCTGGGTCTGGGCTCAGGGGAGCTGGCCGCGCGTGGCGCCCGGATTCTATCCAAAGGGAACAGACAGCATTTGCAGCTCGAGCAGCAGAGTGGGCATTTGCTCCTCCAAGAAAAATTGGACCGGGAAGAGTTGTGTGGGGACACGGACCCGTGTAGACTGCATTTCCAGGTGTTACTGAAAAACCCGCTGCAGTTTATTCAAGCGGAACTCCAGCTCCGAGATGTAAATGACCACACCCCCGAATTCTTGGAACAGGAAATCCTCCTGAAAATCCCGGAAAGCAGCCACCCCGGGACTGCAATTCCTTTGAAAACAGCTCAGGACTTAGACGTGGGCAGCAACACAGTTCAGAACTACACCATCAGCACCAACCCTCACTTCCACCTGTTCCTGCGCAGTCGCAGCGATGGCAGGAGATACCCCGAGCTGGTGCTGGACAAAACACTGGACCGCGAAGAGCAGTCAGAGCTCAGGTTAACCCTCACGGCGCTGGATGGTGGGTCTCCGCCCAGGACTGGGACTTGCCAGGTTGTCGTTGCAGTCCTGGACATAAATGACAACGCCCCTGAGTTTGCTCAGCTGCTCTATGAGGTGCAGGTCTCAGAGAACAGCCCTGTAGGCTCCCTTGTCATCACCGTCTCCGCTAGAGATTTAGATGCTGGGACCCATGGCGAGCTCTCCTACTCGTTTTTCCAATCGTCAAATCAAGCCATTCAGGTGTTTGAACTAAACGCAGTCACGGGAGAACTTCGGTTAAAAAGAATGCTGGATTTTGAGGAAATTCGGTCTTACCGTATGGAAATTGAGGCCTCAGACGGTGGAGGCCTTTCTGGGAAATGCACCGTAGCCATAGAAGTGGTGGATATAAATGACAACGCCCCGGAACTGACCATGTCATTTCTCATCAGTGACATCCCAGAAAACACCCCAGACACTGTGGTAGCTGTTTTTGGAATTTCAGATCCAGACTCTGGAGACAATGGCAAAATGACTTGTTTCATCCAAGACCATCTCCCCTTCCTACTGAAACTTACTGTAGAAAATTACTACACCCTGGTAACAGAAGGAGCGCTGGACAGAGAGAGTCAGGCCCAGTACAACGTCACCATCACCGTCCCCGACTTGGGGACCCCCAGGCTGGAAACCCAGCACAACATCACCCTGCTGGTGTCTGACGTCAACGACAACGCCCCCGCCTTCACCCAAACCGCCTACACCCTGACCCTGCGCGAGAACAACAGCCCCGCCCTGCACATCGGCAGCGTCAGCGCCACAGACAGCGACGCGGGCGCCAACGCCCAGCTCACCTACTCGCTGCTGCCGCCCCACGACCCGCGCCTGCCCCTGGCCCCGCTCCTGTCC